AACAACATGTAAGGAAGCCCAAGGCGAAGCCGGGCTTCCGCGCTAGTTTAAACTAATAGCGAACTTAAAATATCTGACCACCTCGGCTTGGTTGCTTACTGATGCAGTTTAGAACTTTATTGAAATCATTTAGGCGTAAAAGTTGACTTAATAAGCTTCCTCACGTTTTAAAGTTTCAGATTCAATGTAGCAAACTCCAATCATTCACGAAGAAGTAAATGGAACGTAATGTCCAAATTCTATTTTCGAAAAAATATACATTCGCTTATCATTTGTACTGATTGCTTTACTAACAAAATATCATTATGTCTGGATAACATTAACTTTTACTTTCGGTTCATAGTTCAGTGTATTTACATTTTTAATTATCGGAGAGGCATAAAAGCATATTACACACTCTGATTTACGTATAATGTGCGTGAACTTAATTGGTAGGTTATTGGGGATGCCTTAGCGATCTGTGGAGGCAAAGGAATTAAGAAAGTATTTTCCTTTTAAATTACCATCACCCTGTGCCTCATAATATTTAAAATAATCATTGACAGCCGATAATAAATGCTTATTTTCTGAGTTGTTCAAAATCAGAATCCCTTTCTCAGCGTAGATTTCTCCATATTTGTCTACTTCTATGAGGTCGAGGAATTCCTTTCAGCTAAAGTAACATGAAATAGTGCCCAGCCACTTCTTGTGTAGTGTGCGTTCACTTACTTCGTTTTGCCGAACTAAGGTATTTCCAACTGTTTTCTCATAGCCTTCTGATGTACATGGGAAATGCGTCCATTGCTATTGCTCAAAAGCATTGGATTTAGCCCTTAGGTCAAACGACATGACCAGGTGTTGTTAGTAAACCGCGTGTTCGCATATGACGAGGAAGAGAGGTATGCTTTGTTGATCCTGAGCTGATCTTTTATGCGTACTAATGGCATCGGAGTCGGAAACGAGCAAGTGAATATGGAATGCTTTCCAGTGCTCAACCGTTCATCATTTGAGCAGCATCACTTATGATGTTTCCTGAAGACGTCTCTACTTTTCATCCCTAATGGGCAATGGCAGGGAAAAGAAATCGTAAGGCCAGTAAAAGGTCTACTTTATGGCAAATAGTTCAAAGTCACAATTGCACGTAAAAGGACACTAGTTATTTGCACGTCTCTCGTAAAATACCTTTTCCTCTGACAAATGAATTCTTTCTTCTTAGCAAACTCAGCTGGCATAGCGCTTCCGTGACACCAGGCCGAAAAGTGTACAAGAGAATGAAGCGTGGGAGCAAGTAACCGTTCCCCGTCTTATTAGTCAAAAGAAATACTTCAGTAAAAGGCGTTTTTAGTGAAAATAAGATCACAACAAAAATATTGTATGTACACTCGAAGTACATTCAAAATGCTTGAACTGCACTTCAAGGTTATTGGTGCAGTCATCGACACAGAATCAGCATTCAAGAGATGCGACGAATCCCAAAAATTCCTGATAACTTAGTTTGCCATCCTTATTTGTGTCATAGTCTTCCATCCATTCATCTATGGTCTCTTGCAAGTTCTCGGAACCCGTTTGACGAAGGAACTCCTTCAATTCGTCGGCAGTTACGGTTCCGCTTCCGTCTTTGTCAAGGTCTTCAAACATCTCTTTCCACCTTGTGTAGAAAAAAGGTTTATGTAGTCGGGGTTGATAATGCTAAGTTATTTACTCACTTCACATCATTTATAGCATTTTGTTTAAATTTGTCTAAAAGACATATACAGATATATCTAGATTGCACAAAAGACCGGGATTGAACTGAGAAAACTTAAAAAACTTTAAAAAGCTTCCACACGCAAATTACCATCCTTTAAAATGTTAGAATACAATAAGATGGTTGTTTAAACTGATGACTGAAAGAATGGTTGTCGAACGGTAAAATTATTAAAATGACATAAAATCGAAATTTCGGTTTACATTTATATGTGTAAAAAAATTCGTTTACTTACGCATCCATAGGCTGACTTGATATGTTAAGCGCAATTTTGTACTCTCCTAGCGTAATTATGCCATCCCCATTGAGGTCCAACTTGCTCATTAACTTCTAAATAAAAGAGGAGTGAAATCGAGACACTGCGTTTTAATAATATAAATTCGTGGTTAATAGGGTGGGCCAACATGGAGGGCCAGATCAGGTCACAGCAACTTTTAGTGTTGATGTGCAAACCGTACTGACTGCAGTAGAGGGAGAAACTTGGTATATGGAGTTATGTGGTTGATTTTTCTCAGTTATACAGAGGACGCGGGTTCTGTTATTGGGCAGTCAATCAGCATTTATTGTTACACTTGTCAACCAGAGGAAATATCCTAGTCACATGGAGAAGATACACTAATTAAAAGGCTTAAAGCAGGTCATCCGCAAATTTGGGATTTATTTTAATAAGACCATAAGAATAGCGTGAGTATATGTTTTCAGTGAGAAATGTACTGAATGTAAGTCCTTAGCTGGTCACTAAAAAGTGAGTTAAAATGCAATTTATGAACTCGTCTGCGGGTTGATGGGAAAAGTAGTCCTGTTTTCAGGGGCGGTGGAGGTGGAAGGAATTTAGGTCAAAATGTCAGTGTCTAGGTAGACCGCTACTATTTCTCGACGTACATTTGAGCAGGAGTATTCAACGTAGGGTCTATCGTAAGAAAATGTGGGCCGGGCAATATGCCCATTTTGCTAGGTTCGTATCCTTAAACATAATTCAGTACGATTTTTGACAGAAAGGGGGGAGAAGGATCTGCTCGGCCGCCAACACAAATAAGCGAGCTTAAGATGAAAGAAGGCGTTTTTCGACATACTGAATATTCTTATTGATTTATTGCTAAGAACATACCTGAACGTTTGCCAAAGCCACCGATGCTAACAGTGGCGAAAACAACCTTCATCGGGGTCCCATTTAATGGGGACGCACAGAGAAAACTCCTCAGAAGGCGCCTGAGCCAAGCCGTGTCAAAAACTTTTCCAGATGCCAACGCTCAATAATATTCTCAACAACCCCCCTCCTAAAGAGACAAACTGCCAATCCAGACCATCTGTTCCTGTGGGGCAGAGTATATACGTCGCACGAGCCAAACGAAGAGCATTGATAGTTCCATTCTAGCACACATGGCAGACTCAAACAATTGCGTGGACGCCAAAGAGGCTTTCCGAGTGACC